ACAGATGCTCCCCGCCTACGTGTTCCTCATCGCCGGCCTCGTCCTGGCAGGGGCCGCCTTCGTCGGTGAGGTCGTCAACAACAGCTGCGTCGGTCGTGGTCGCCGCAGCTAAGCGTCGTAGGAGACCGCACTGAAGAAAACAAAATTCTTACTTAGCACCTGATGATTGGAAAATGTAAATGAACAGACCACTGAATAAATAATTGATAGAAAAGACTCGGGTTCAACATTGCCTATCATCTGCCTTCACGATCCGCCCCATGACGGTTACTGTTAGTTTCTTTTTCTTTTTTTTTTTCTGGAGCACGATTTTGTAAGTTGGTTTCGATCCGCCGTGGTGTGTTTTGCATAGTCTGCATTTCGCACTCCTCGTCTGCGGGGGCTGGAGACGGTCGGCCTGCTTGGCAGCGGAGGGCTTCATAGTGCCCGTCAGTCTAACTGTATCGACGCACGGCTGGGAACGGTTGCCCGGCGTTCGAGTTCCAACGTCACTCGCCACCATGAGTGGATCGCACGACTCCTTCCAGTCCTGCTACCAAGAGGGAGACGCAATCCGGCTCGCGTCAGTCTTTCAAGCGGACTTTGCTAAGGAGCTGCGCGGCGCTTTGGAGAGACTGGTGTTACTGACACAAGCACCCCTCCCGGTGATGGAGACGCAGGGCTTGCTGGATGCGACAAGGCGGCTGCAGCTGGTCGCCGAGGCAGTCTCGTCTAGAATGTGTCTTCCGGGGGGCGGGGATTTACCGCAGAAGGGCCCAACAAGGTAGGCCAACGTGATCATGTTCTGTCCAATCATTCCAAAACAGGCTAAATGTGGACCATGCGGGGTTAACTGGACCACTGGACCACCTCTTTGTTCTGTGTTCCGCTTCTGCTCGATTCTTACTATACCACTTAGTTCTATTCCTGACAATGCTGGGTGACAGCCAGGTGACAGCTCAGTGGTTGCGCTAGTCAAACAGAAGCGGAACATAGGAATAAAGAGGTTGGTCCACACTACCGATCCACATTAGCCTGTTTTGCATACGTTGGTTGTATTAGAACGTTAGCGAAATGTCGTCTACAAAAATAATCATTATTTTTCTGATGGTGAGCACACAGCTGTCCGACGAACAATATGAAACAATTGCAGAAGGTTCTTACCTTGTCCAGAGACTTGACCTTTCTGCTCACTGAGTGTGACTGGAATTTAAAGGATTTACGTGCCGCTTTGAAGGAATACTCCGACCAGATAGGTGCGTATTTGTTGTTTTTGTATTCCTATGTATTCCGACACTTAGACAAATGTTGTAAAAATTGGCACGATTGTGTAAATGCTTGCACATAGTCTGTTTAGGAACAAATTTTGTTTTCAAAGCCTAGACGCGTCAAATCAACCATTTTTTGACACAAAATGGTTCCGAACTGCCTGACACCACCCTGATGATGTTTTTGTACCCTCAGAGGCCGCAGTAATGATGATGAGCGACTACGCAGCCGTTGGACATGCGTCCTTCTCCTCGGGTATACGGCGGGGTGTTTAAAATCAGCATGCGTTTTATTTCTTAAATTCAATGCATAAATATTGATA